GCGTCAAAATTGCCAGGAAATTGGCTGGACAACGGTCAAATGTGGAGGACTGGTCCAGTGCCCAACGTACAAATCCAACTTTCACACTGGCGCCGTGCCCAACGTACAGATCCGGCGCGTTTGTCCATTGGTCCGTTGCCTGTCCGTCTGACCACCATTTTCTCAGTCTGTCAGACCGTCAGTCAGGCGGCCATATTCCCAGCCTGTCATACCGTCAATGCGTCAATTTCTGAGTCTGTCAGACCGCAAGTACGTCAGTTGGCCAGCGCGTCAATTCTCAGCGGGTAAAGTTACCACCAGGCGCACGTGAGTGGATCCCTCTGTCAGGCGCCGCCGCCGCCGCCCGGTACTGAGTCCCTTTGTTCACCACCTCACGATGNCTCACGCTTGCCCTTTGTGTTGAGTTGAGTGCGATGAAGACATTGACAAAAATTTTCACATCGCTCAGTCCAGTGCGCAGCAAGCAAGCAGTACAGCATGCAGCAGCCTCTGCCCAGAGTACTGTAGACTGCAAGTCACGCACAGCAGTCAGCGCCTCTGCGCTGGTCAGACGGACCTGTGCAATATAAAGACGTGCTGGCTGAGGTACCAACAGACGTTATGAAACCATCAACCGCTTCACGCTCTCTGTTCCATTTGCAACTGGATACATTGTTCTACGCTGCAAGCTGCCTTCTTCAACAATGACTCTGCAGTCACCTCCCTCTGTCCGCACTGACAGTGCTGACAACGCTGACACTGCTGTCAACGCAGCAGTGGAAGGCGAGACAGTTGCAACGTCCCCTGCTGAAACGTAAGTTCACCCGTCCTCACGCGTCATCAGCCTTNGTGCAGCGTTTCCATCACCAGCCCATTGGTGACGCTTCACGCCGCGCTATCCAGGCCATGCTTGATCAGCTTGATCTGCCTCTTCCCAAGGACGTCCCTGTGGACCACAACCAGCTGCCAGTGCCCAAGATCAAGGAGCTGCCAGTGATCACAGATGGCTACCAGTGCAACCACTGCTCCTACGCCATACCGTCAAAATCTTCCATGCATGCTCACCTGAAGGACAAACACGCAGACCTCAAGGTCAGAGGCAAGTCTACGCACCCTATCCTGCTGCAGGTCATCCAGGAACACGGCAAGAACAAGCGCTGCATCTACGTGCAGGACAAGCAGCTGGACCCCACGCCTCCACAGGCTATCCTCAACGCCAACCTGAACACACGTCAGCTGGACAATGCCATCACAGCCAGGGCCGCTGCGTTCATCCAGCAGGACCAAGCTGCTCTCCGTGACGCAGGTCTGCTCAACCCGCTCGTGGACACGTCCATGCTCAGCGGCAACATTGGTCCATGGGCCAAGCAGCTCAAGTGGCGCTCGTACTGGGCAGGCAAGCCGCTGGCTGCCATTGGCGCTCTGGGCACTGACACGTCAAGCTGGCCCGGCGCACACCACAACTTTGTTCACTGGCTGGCCAGAATGGGCAAAGCTTCTGCTCAGCGTTGGATGCAGACCTTTATGGAGTCTGGCCGTTACATGCAGCAGACGTTCCATGCTTACAGTGATGCGCCGTCAGAGCCCTACAACCTTCGGCCGCAGACCATCAAGAAGCGTGCTGACATGTGGGGCAACGTCCTTGCTCTGCTTGCGCACCTTGCCTTGGATGGTGAGACCCTCCACTATCACGGCAGCCAGGGCTGGGATCAGCACCTTGTAGTCACAGACAACGCTACTGAGGCCATCCACTGCCTGCGGGACCTGTCCACGCTCTTTGATCAAGGGGACGAGGACCTGGGCACCAACCCTGATGCACGTGCAGCTGCAGAGCATGAGTTAAGCGTTCACCAGGTCAACGCTGCAGTGGAAGAAGCGCTGCTCAGCCTCTCTCACCAGCTTGTCACTCAGCGCCCAGCAAGACACGGTCAGACAGACG